TTAGGGCTTTAGGGTTTAGGGTCCTTTAAAGAACTAAATCCTGAGCACTGAAGAGCCTGAACCCGAAGACCGAACTCAGGCTTTAAGGAACAGGCCCTTTCTTGGGGTAGGGTTTAGGGTTTAGGTGGCTTGAGACTTCAAGGTGGAGGGTTTAGGAATTGAGCCTCACACTCTCAACAGAAGCCTTAAAGGTTGGGCTTGGACGTACCGCATTAGAAAAAGACCCAAACCTGACCAAAACTTTGGGGGTTCCTTAATATAGTTATAGTATAATGGACCCCATATTCAGGCTTCTATATTAATTCAGATGGAACGTTCTTGGACCTACAGAAACCCAAGCCTCCCCAAAACATGCGGGCCTTGCATCGGATCGTCTAGAGGGCTCAGAGTGGACGTCGGGCTTGGTGCTGCGACGGCTACGGCAAGCCACCGGTGGAAGCCTTGCTTCATAGAAGGGCTTAGGGTTTAGGGCTTAAGATTTAAGGTACAAGGTTTTCAAACTTTATCGCCATAGGTCAGCGTATATAGGACTGTACGCGATGTCATAAAGATATGGGGCCAACGATTGAAACTTTGCTTCAAAGCTTCCAAAGACAGGACCAGAGTCCTCACCTCGGAGCTGAAAAAGATCCAGGTCCTACTGCTTACTCAAGCTCAGCTCAAGATTCAGGATCGCATGAACACCGGAGAAAGCATGCCGAACATGTGAAAGATTGAGGGTTAAGGATTCACGAGGTTGGCCTGCAGTTAATGCAGGGGCCTTAATAATTTCAATAGGGTTTTGGGTGATACTATACTATAACTATAGTAAGGAGCCCCCGAAATGGTATTGCCAATTATTAAGGCCCCTTACGCTAGTTAGGTTCAGGGTTCAGGGTCAGGGAATCCAGAAAGCGGTCCTCACACACGCAAGAGCTTTCGGACTTGGGGAACAAGGCTAAGAGAGTTACAGGGCGCAGCTTGCGGTGGTGGAGGAGGAGGAGGAATGAGGATTTGGTTCAGCCCTTGGGAAATCACAGACTGCCGCGATGAGGGAGCCCCTAAACCCTAAACCCTAAACCGACTGTTTCGCGGCTGCGCAGCCGTCAGATCTCATTGCAAGTCTTTCGATGGGCAGTTCTGCAGCAGGCAGTCGTTTGACTGGCGCTTGCATGGCGAGCTTTCGAGGCTGCTGCCCAACCGGTTTAGGGTTTAGGGCTTAGGGTTTAGGGCTGAAAACAAGACTCCCAAAGTGGTGCGGGTAAGGGTGTAGTGGTGCTGGCGATGGCGAAATGATGGTAAAACGGTGGTAGTATGGTCGCGGAAATGGTGATTGTCAGAGCAGCGGCACGGCAGAGTGCTGCCAGAGGCGAAGGAAAATCAGCAGCAAAAAACACAATAGTCACTGCGATGACGATGGCGATGCTGATGGCAGCGACAAGAATACGTAAGCGTCGGAGCATCACCAGGTACCTGATGTGACGGCTACATAGACTCTGACGCGTATGGCACAGCAATGGCAATAGAGATGAAGAGTGATGATGATCATGATGCAGACGATGACGATCATAGTAACGACACTGAAGACAAATCTGAATGGTGTTATGAATGGCCATAGCAGTGATGCTGCTCAAAATCATAATGCTATCCGCTAGACTGCACAAACAACAAATTCTAGTGCTTCGTGCACGAGGACCGACGACGACAACTGCTCTTGCCATTGATTCTATGAGTCCAACGAGGACAACAGCGTAGGAAGCTCGAACAAATCGCAGCAGAAAGTCTGAGCTATCTACAGATCCTACCAGCTCCGAACGGTTGCAAGCCCGACTCCGGATTTGTGGGAGTGAGTTTTAGGCGTCGACGAGTTGAGGGTAGAGACTTTTGGTGGGATTTTGAAGATTACTCTTGGAAGCTCTAGCGACTCTTGCATGAAACTTAAGGTAGGGTCTATTTCGACTCCAGGGGGAGTTTAACCGCCAGATTTTGCTGTGTGGTCTAGACTAGACTCTTGGGGGTGGCCAGCAACCGGTGCGGAGCCAGCATCAGAACCGTCACGAACGGCTGCAAAAATACATGCGGAGTTCCATGCTGAAGGCACTCAGTGCACTCCGCTTAAAGGACTGGCGAAAAATGTCCGAACAAGTCCTTCACTGGACTACGGTTGATGATATACATCCTGCATTTTCCATAATAAGGAAAATATCATATTTCACATAGCTTAGGGTCCTTAAGGTATGCAGGATTTTTTTTCATCAACAGTATGAACACGTGATCCTGCACCTGGAACCTCCCAGGAGCTGTAAATTGAATTTCGAACCCATAATCACGCGGTAGTTCTGTGAATCCTACTCGAAGACACTCTAAGCTAGAAGACACCCTGGAACCACATAGGATAAGCAAAGGCCAAAACCCAAACCTCCTAAACCCTGAACCCTAAACTCCCTAAACTCCCTAAACCCTCAACCCTAAACCCTCAACCCTAAACCCTAAACCCTAAACCCTAAACCCTAAACCCTAAACCTAAACTCCCTAAACTCCCTAAACCCTCAACCCCGAAGCTCTCACTTCTGGAAGGCCGAAAGCATTGCAAGCTCCAGTCGGCCGCGATGAAGACCACCTGAAAGGCATCACTGCTCTAGAAGGTTTACTTGGAGGATCATGAGACTTAGTAAGTATGGTTAATACCTTAATTGGGGTTAGAAGTAGTTCTAAGTATAGTTATCCTAATAATATCCTTAGTTGCTAAGTCCCATGATCCTTTAAGTAGGGTCTAGGGCTTAGGGCCTCAGGGCTCGAGAGCTCGGGTTGCACGGTTTGGGGTGTCGGGTTCAGAGCTGATGGGCTTTAGGGTTTCAGGGGGTTTGGGGCTTAGGGTTTAGGGCTGACTGGTTTTAAGGCGAGGTTTAGGTTCTAGGGATTAGGTCTCGGGGGTGGAGGGCTGGGGGGCTTTCAGGGTATAGGGTTTTGGAGCCGTGAAAACCCGTAAAGGAGGGCGGGAGATGGTAAGAGGGTTTGAAAGTATTTCAATACTTGGGGTCATAAATACATATTACTAAGAGTGGTATGTATTTCCAACCCCAATCATGTCTTAACTATACTTGCCCTGCTTGCACCGTGGAGTTTAGAGGTTTAGGGCTGCAGGGTTTAGGGCTAAGGGTCCTCAACCCCTACCCTAAACCCTAAACCCTAAACCCTAAACCCTAAACACAGCCCTAACCCCAAAATCGCCTGAAAACCTTACATCTCTGGAAACCCTGCAGCTCCTGAACTTTAGTCTCTCGAGTCCTTCATCTGCGCGGCTCAGGACGGAGGGCGCCGGGTGGCCACTCTTCCCGATCACGTCGCACTTCTTCGAACACACCAGTGCCTGCGATGACTGTTTCAAAGGGATACGAGAAGGGTTCCTATCCGGGCTACTACCCTAAGCTAAACCCTAAACCCCAAACCATAAACCCTAAAACCCTAAAAACCTAAACCCTAAACCCTAAACCCTAAAACCCTAAAACCCTAAAGCCCTAAAACCCTAAAACCTATTACCCGAAACTTTAAACCCCAAACCCTAAACCTCCAAACCCCAAACCCTAAACCCGAACCTGTAACCCCCTAAACCCATAAACTAAACCCTAAACCCTAAACCCCTAAAGCCCGAAACCCAAAACCTTTTGGAGTCCTCTTCCATGTTCTGACAAAACCCGAAACCCTAAAGCCTAAACCCTGAACCCTAAGCCAAAACCCGAAACCCGAAACCCAAAACCCCTAAAAACCCTAAACCCACCGTTGGAGTCCTCTTCCATGTTCTGACAAGTATAAAAAACCCTTAATCCCCAATCTAAAACCTTAAAGGCCCGTAAAGAAGCTCGCCCCTAAACCCTACACTTCAAAACCAAAACCCTAAACCCTAAACCCAAAGCCCTAAACCCTAAACCCTAAACCCCTAAACTAAACCCTAAACCCTAAACCGCTAAAAACCCGAAACCCACCGTTGGAGTCCTCTTCCATGTTCTGACAAGTTTAAAAAACCCTTAATCCCCAATCTAAAACCTTAAGAGCCCTTAAAGAAGCTCGCCCCTAAACCCTAAACTTCAAACCAAAACCCGAAACCCTAAACCCTAAACTTTAAACCAAAACCCTAAACCCTAAACCCCTAAAGCCCTAAACCCACCGTTGGAGTCCTCTTCCATGTTCTGACATTTCATACCCTAAACCCTGAACCCTAAGCCAAAAACCGAATGCCCGAAACCCGAAACGTGGAGTCCTCTTCCATGTTCTGACATTTTGAACCCCTGAATCCTTAAATCCCTAAATCCCTAAACCCTAATCCCTAAATCCCTAAACCCCCAAAACCCGAAACCCAAAACCTTTTGGAGTCCTCTTCCATGTTCTGACATTTCATCACGTAGTCGTGGACCTTTTCGAGCCGATCCTGAAGGCAAACTCAGAGGCTCCAAATACCTTACCAATATGGAATTAGGTTTAGGGTTTAGGGTTTAGGGTTTAGGGTCTAGGGTTTAGGGTTTAGGGTCTAGGGTTTAGGCGGAATTAGGTCCCAAATGACCATCCTTATCAGGGATTTAGGGACCTAATTCCATAATGGTACTAGATATGGAGCCTCTGGGAAAGGAGCCTATCTCCAGAGCTCCACCGGTTTGTTTACACGCTTTAGGGTTTAGGGTTTCGGTTTAGGGTTTAGGGTTTAGGGTTTAAGGTTTAGGGTTTAGGGTTTAAGGATTAGGGTTTATGGGTTTTAAGGTTCAGGGTGTAAGGTTTAGGGTTTAGGGTTTCGGGTTTAAGGTTTAGGGTTTAGGGCTTTTCCAGTTTTAGGCTGTATGGTTTGGTGTTTAGGGTTTAGGGGTTTAGGGGTTTAGGGTTTAGGGTTCAGGGCCTTGGAAGGCTTTTCAACGGGCATTGTAGGGTCTTTCTTCGGATGTCGGCTGGCTTTTCTCTGGATTGTTCCATACGGGTGTGCAAGGCAGGGGTGAGCTGAACGGTTTCGGGATAAACCGTCTGAGCCCTAAACCCCAAAGCCTAAACCCGAAACCCTAAACCCAATAGTTGTATAAGCCCTAAACCCTTTATCTTAGAAGAACTGGGTGCAAGTTTCGGCTTGAGGGCAGGGGTCTGGGGTTCTGAAAGAGACATATGGGAAGCCATGAAGCCGTTCCCGAAGGGACCAGTTGCCCAAGTAGTATACGGGTTCTGTCTACATCCCACATCTGAAATCCAGATGGTTTATAGGACCTAAACCCTAAACCCTAAACCCTAAACCCTGCTTGGCCCCGCGGAGCTTCAAAGTTCAAGGGAGCAGCGGCTTTGTTACACACGAAAACGCTAATTAGACCCTATACCTTAAATCCCAGACTGGAAAGCCCTAAGCCCTACCTGTGGCCGAAAAAACCTTCTCTTTGAGGGCTCCTCACTGTGGTTTCTATATATAATTCCTTAAAAAAGTCGGTTCTTTGGGGTTAAGGTAGACCCTAAAGCCCTAAACCCTAAACCCCAGACCACAGGTAGGCCTTAATTTCACACAACCGGGCCGGGTCGTGTCCTTCGCCTCATGGAGATTGTTCCACTGGCTGACCAAATTTTCAGGAACTGGAGGCAGGCCTCCGGCAAGGGGGTCCTTACATATCTAGAATTTCTGCTGTGGTTTAGTGTTTAGGCTTTAAACAAATCTAAGGGTTCTGCTACGGTTTAGGGTTTAGGGGACAAGGGTGCAAAGGAGGGTTCTGTCAATGCAAACCCCTGCTGCATAAACCCCTTGCATTAAGTGCCTTAATATGACGATCCTGCTAAAATCCGTTATAACCTTTCAGTGCACAGGGGTGGTTAATAATCAGGGTTGCATAAGGGTTCCTACAATGACAACGGCGACTTTCAAGTCCATCCCATACGGCTGCCTGAAACCCTAAACCCTAAATCCTAAGCCGTGGTTTAGGATTCGGGGTTTCTTCAAAGTTTCTCTTCATGATTTAAAGGTTTCCTATAGTTTACGGGTTTCAGGCCGCCCTTGAAACTCATTTTTGTGTGCTTCTGGTTTAGGGTTTGAGGTGTAAGCTTTGCAGTCAACCCGAAACCCTAAATCCTAAACCCCAAGCCCTAAACCCTAAATCAGATACCCTGGAACCCCAGACCACCAAAAGCCCATCATGGACCCTGATTTAACCCCACATAGCCTACCTTTTTAAGGACTCATATAAAGAAATCATAATAAGGAACCCTAAAATTGGTAGGTTCTGTAGCGTCCAAGTGATTTGTGTAGGATCCGATCCCAGGTTGAAGACATCCGGAATAAACCCATATTCGTACACCCCCCCCGTCCTCTGCCCCCTCCTCCCGCCAAAAACTCACACACACACACACACATAGATAGATAGTTAGATGGATAGATAGATAGATAGATAGATAGATAGATAGAACGATAGATAGATAGATAGCACACAAGACCAGTATCCTAAACCCACGTACCTAATTCGTAGGCTGGCTAAAGTCCGTTTTTGTTCGTGGTAGACCCTAAACCCTAAACCGTACCATGCCGCATCTTCTCCTCCTTACACTTCGAAGGGGCTTAACCCAGACCCCCAAAAGGATCTAAAAAATAGATCCCCTAATCAGGGACCCTAACTGTAGCTACTAAAGGGTACTTTATAGGGGATCTATTTTTTAGATCTGTTTGGGGGTTTGGGAAGTTGTGGTGAGTAAACCCGAAACCCTAGACCCAAAACCCCCAACCCTTGTGGTGAGTCGTCGGCTCGGCAGCAAAACGGCTGTAGCAAGAAGAGCCCTAAACCCTAAACCCCTAAACCCTCAACCCCTCAACCCCTCAACCCCTAAACCCGTAAACCCTAAACCCTAAACCCAATCGCAAGTAGCTGCCACTCCGAGGCCTGGCATTGGGTGAGAGTCTTTGGGGAGCCCCAAAATGGGAGTTTCCGAAAATCAGG